GCGTAAACATACATCTGAACTTTCTTTGTAGGCTCTTGGTGTTGATGTAAAGCATAAGGGCTAAAGTGCTGTATAATTTATTTAAACTATTTAAAATCATACTATAGTTTTCTATTATAAAAATAAAAGCATTTTTGTTTTGTTATAGTAATTTTACAGTCTCTGCTTTTGTAAAAATAGTCTTACCCTTAATCCACCTTTCGGATATTCAATTACATTGGATGTTGCTTGAAACATTTTTTGTTTTATTACATGCAGAGCAGCATCTTCAATATTTCTTGGTATAATACTTGTTGAATCCAATGCAAATATATCTGAAAGGTTTATTTGTAAAGTAGATGATGATGATGTTGGTAATGGTTGTTGAACTTGATATTTATGTTTTCTGACAACTTTTTTGATGTTTCTTTCGTTCTGACAGTTGTGTGATTTTAAATCTACCACAAACTTGCTTGCATACTTCTTGTAAATTTTCTATTATTTCAATGAAATTTGTTGATAAAATTTACCTATCATTTGGAATTGAAAAGGAACATTTAGGGCATTTTGTTGGTAATAGACATGATGCGCAGATTGAATGAAGACAGTTTTTTATAATAATTGGTTTATGCATAATGTCATTACAAATAATACAAACACAAAGATGCACATGAGGGTTTAAGATACAGTTAGTATCTTGCAGTTTAAGATTAAGTTTTGCTTGAGGTGAAAGTTTAGATTGTATATTATTTATTTTGTGTCTAGTCCAAATATTTTTACAATAACTAATACTGGAAGGTCTTCCACTTATCTTTTTTTTTTTTTCTTCCTTTATTGGATTTAAAGCAAACACATTCAGTTAAATTGCAATTTTCAGGCCATGATCTTAATTTTAGTTCAGTGTTTGAACCTTTTTCAATATTTCTTAATATTGAAAAGCATCTATAACACATTTTTTGAGGATGCATATTTGGGTGGTCCTTATCGATTCGGATAAAAAAACAAAATTCTATTCTAACAATATGTTTTGTTAAAAAATCACTATCATTATCTAAACTTTCTCCACATATTCTGCATAATGTTTATAGTTTTGTTTCATGAGACTCAGTCATTTGTTATTATTATATGTTTTTGTTATTATTTTTTTTGCCATATTATATTATTATATGTTTTTGTTATTGCTAAAATATAAGATTTGATATACAAAATTTTTGGTGTGTGAAAAGAGTAAGCAATAAAAAAAAATTTACAGTGTAACCACCTAAATATACTTGTTTTAGTGTAAATGATTATACAAACATTTAAAAAAAAAATCAACAATATTCTTAGTAATAAAAGACTATTAAACAAAAGTAAAACTTTTTAATGAAAGTTCTAATTAAAATCCCCCCCCCCCCAACCCTATGTAACGGAATTGGAAATATATACCTCTACTGGGCGTAAGGATAGGGTGTGTGCTCATTAATATTTTTTAATGAAATTTGGCAAGCACACAGAAAATAGATTTATACAGTTGACTGGAAAATTTTAAAAGTGTACCAACATGCCTTCCATATTAATGCACTAACAAAACAGGAACGAAATTTTAAAATCTAATCAAAATCACCGGTAACTGTAAAAAAACAACAGAATTTATATCAAGAAATAACAGTAACAGTAACGGTAATAGGTTAGTAAAGTGTAACAGTAACCAGGGCCTTTGAGAGGGAGGGGCAAAGGGGGCAAATTAACCCGGGCGCCAAGCTTGAAGGGGCGCCGGTCAATACGTTTTTTTCTTTTTTATAGAATAAATAGAAAAAATTTTAATGACTGACAATCTGAAATCTGATTAGTTTTTACATTTAAGATTGAAACTTTAGTATTTGGAATAAGATTGCACATGAAAAAAATTATTTAAGTTTTAAATTCTATTGTTATAATTATTAATGAACTAATTTTTACAAAAAAACTAGGATTTAGCTGTTGTAGAATTAGACAGAAGCGGGCGTGTTCCGTAAGCCCATGAACATTTAGCAATGCAAGCTCATGTTCGATTGTAAGGAAGATTATGTGCTGTGGTAATAATATTGGTAACTCATCAAATTTTGCTTTGAAGGAGTTAACAAAGATAGAACTGAAAACTTCAATAGGTAGTACGTTCCATGGGTTCGCTTCCACTTCTTTAACTATACGGTTGTTGAAGAAGTTGAAGCGAACGAGACAGTTGTGGTCGATTTCACATAATAAGCGCTGTTTTTTTCAAGTAGTATTTGAGTGTTGAGGCAAAAGAGAGAATCATAGCATTGCATTTTTTAGACAAATAATTGGCCTTGACTCTACCAGGATCCGGCCAGTTATCAAATATTTGAGTTTTTGCATCTTGGCTGCACTCAAAATGAATAATTTACTGCACTCAATATGTTATTCAAAGGACTGTGGATCAGTGGGGGCTTAAATAATTTTCCTCAACTTTAGCTTAATGAATTTTAAAGTGAACCATTAGAGTCAAAAAAAGGAACTTTATCTAACAGTGGAGAATGCAAGGTTCAACTTAACTTGGTAATAATTAATGTGAACTTCTTTGTGGGCGAGTCAAAAAGATCAAGATGCAATTATTTTAAAGAGATTTCCAGCACAAAAGCAGTATTCAAAAGCGGCTAATTGTCCCTTCTTCGTTGAAACTGAGGAGCTAGAGATCAACGGAGGAAGCAGCATCAATGCAGCCTAATGCACTAAAGGTTCTACAATGATTGGAAAGAGGCCTACTTTTGTCTTACCAGCTCCACTGGTATTTAGAGCTCCATACGTGAATAAATTCTGAGACAGCTAAATGGCTGACAATTCTCCGTGAAGTTTTAAATGTGACTGTTTTCCTGGCTTATAAGGGGTTTAACTTTAGGAAATTTACTTTAGGTGTTTTCATTGACTTGACCAAAGCTTTAGATACTATTTTTCACATAATAATCTTTTATTGTTCTTGATAATAATCTTTCCGTTTAAAATAAAGCATGAGAACTCGCACGGTTTCATCCGAGAGATGTAAGCAAAAAGAAGAAGTTCGCCGTCTTACCAATTCCCGCAAAACAATTTTCAAGCAAGCAATCTAATGCAGTTTTTTGATTTTTTACCTTTCTTAAAAGTTTTACTTATTGATTTTTTGATAGTTTTAAAACTAATATTTTGATTGATATATCAGTTTTGATTAATGAATCGTTTCTCAATCCAGAAAATTAAAAGTAACGCAAAAATACAATGTGCTGTATCAAAAATAAACAAAATTGCTGCGTTCACAAAATTTTTTTAAATTTTAGAGTTTTAATTTCTTGGTTTAAATTAAGGGCGCCGTTCTTCATTTTTGACCTGGGCGCCATTGGCTCTCTCGAAGGCCCTGACAGTAACAGAAACAGTAAAAGTGTTGCTGTTACGTCCACTGGGTGGAATAGTAGGGTATCTGCTCACGTTTTTTTTATTTAAATTTGGCCGGCACATAGAAAATTGATTTATACAGTTGACTGGAAAACATTAAAAGTGTACCAACATGCCTTCAATATCAATGCACTTCTAGAACAGGAGCAAAATTTTAAATAGAAATAAAATCACTGAAAAAATTATTAACTGTTAAAAAACATAATTTATTCAACATAAAATATTCTAATTTATTAATAAAGTCTAAGCTGGTATCAAATTCTAAAAAAAAAGATAAACAAATACATATTTACCACATCGACTTCGTACACGCTGTGAAAATAAAAGTCACAGGGGTTTATCTTTAAAATCGGTGCCGTAAAAAGCCAGATACGCACGTTCCTAAATAATGATACTAATAATGATGAAAAATTAAAAGTTTGAAGAATAATACGAAAATTATATGATAATAAACCAATATCATTTTTAAAAACAACAATTGAATATAACGCATACACAGGAAAGTTACAAATAGTTATGGTACTGACAAAACGAAACAACCTATGTTGGTACTGACAAAACCTAACTAAAACATTTACTGCAAAAAAAAGTAACAATAATTAAAAAAAAATAATAATCCTAATATCTATAATCATAATAAAACGATAAAAGTAAAATAATTACTTCATTAAAAAATAACAATAAATAAAACAAAAATTATTCAATTAAAAGTATAGAGTTTTCATACCAATTGACAATGTTAAAATAAAAAAGTGAATCATATCAAGCAAACACATATCATCACTCTAAAATAATAAAATTAAAATTTTTTTTTTCTTTTTTCAAAAACGGAACAATTTTTTTATTTTATTTTAACTCCTTTTTAATTACTTTCCATTTTGAAATATTTTTTTTTCTTTTAATTTTAGTTTTTTTTTCTTTCCATTTTCTTTTCGCGTTTCTTTTTCCTTTTAATAATTTGTTTGATTTGTTTTTCAATTTTTTTTAGTTAGATAACAAATGGTATTTATGGATGGCCATGCTCCTATAAGACCCACCACATTTACCATTAAAAAATGTAAAGATTATATGAATGATTAGATTGATTATGATAAAAGTATTTGGTATAACTCTGGTTAGTTGTTTTATGTATATTTTTACAAATATATATTTTTTCTATTCTATATATTTTTTTTGTTTTGTTTTTTTATTTTAAAGTGATACTTTGATTTTTTTGTTTTGTTTTTTTATTTTGAAGTGATACTTTTACTGGCACGAAGACCAAATTTGTTTTTAGGTTTCAAATTATAAAGATTTACAAATACACTAGGTGATATATTTTCTTTACATTTAAACATAAAATATTGAAAACATTAAGTTCGTAAATATTAAAAACTTTCATTTCATTAAAAAATAGTGTTGAGCTTGAAAAACGAATCGCAAAATAAATTTTATGAGCTGCGTGTTTCTGATGTCGATAGAGAGATTTTTGGTTTGGTTTTGTGAGCGCTTCCCCATATTATAACTGCATAATTTAAATGGCAATGAATAAATGAATAATACAGCTGCGTTGATTGATGTTTATTTAATATATGTCTAATTTTATATAAAATTGCATTGCTTTTAGCAATTTTCGTGGAAATATTACAAATATGGCTTCTAGGAATTTTTTATTTTGTAGAATTTTATTTTCTCTTTTTAATACTGTAATGTCAATAGATAATTCAGGTAGGATATTTTGAATTTACTTTTTTTTTTAAATATGAACAAAAAAGTATCTATTATGTTTTATCGTTATATGTTTTATCTTTTATTTTAAAAGTATCTATTTTGCTTTATCGGAACCAATATGAGGTTTTTTAAGTTCTTCAGTCATATTATGAAAAAGTATTTTAATGTCTTTGTATGACTGAAATAAGCTTGTATCGTCAGCAAAAATTATAATCGTTAAAATAGAAGCTCTGAAAGATCATTTATATATATATATTAAAAATAAGAATGGCCCAAGTATCGATCCTTGGGGATCACCACATGTTATATTCGTTAATAAATGCGACGAAGATACCTTGTTATAAACAAATCGTTTACAGTTACTAAGATAACTTTTGAACCAATTTAGGGTTTTATATCTTATTCTATAGCTTTCCAGCATTTTCAATAAAATAAGGTGATTAACAGTGTCAAAATCTTTTGATAAATTAATAAAATGTCTAGTATAAATAAAGAATTTTTATTACCGGCAAAACTGCGCATTACTTGGAGAATAGCGTGTTCAGTAGAACTGTTTCTCTGAAAACCAAACTGATTTTTATAAAGAAACTTACTGTCAATCAAATAAGTGTACAATCTGTTATACATTATACTTTCTGATACTTTTGAAAAGACTGGTAGAACTGAGATAAGACGATAACTTGTTACATTTGGAGGTTCACCTGTATTAAAGATTGGAGTAATTTTTTCTATTTTTAGGCTATCTGGAAATGATCCTTGAGTAATAGCTGCTTTAAAAATTTTAAAGATAATATCTTTACTTACATCAAAAGAGTCGATTAAAATGTTCCCATTTATATCATCAGGCCCAGTTGTTTTATTTCTTTTCATTGCTTTAAATGCTATTTCAAATTCACTATATGTTAGATTTGAAAAAATCAGAGTTGAATTAGTTAATGAAATAAATTCATCAACAGAGTTATTACTTAAATATGGAATTTTAGTTGATAAGCTTTGTTTTATTGTTGAAAAAAACTTGATGAATTCGGCGGCAATTTCATTTGAAACATTAACTATTCTATTTTTTATTTTTATTGCAGTCGGCATAAAATTTGAGCATGTCCTATGGTTACCAATAATTTCTTTCATTATTTGCCGAACTCGCTTAGAACTATATTTGTGCTTTATTCAGCAAGTCCGAGTAATAAATATTTTTGGCTTTTTTGCAGAGTTTTTCCAATAAATTTTTATAGACTGTGTAAGTGCTTTTTGCTTTTCTGATTTAGTCTTTAGATATTTAACGTTGAGTTTTTGCTTTATTTTTGAGGACTTTTTAATTCCTTTAATTATCCAAAGACAAGATAGGTCTTCGGTGTTAATAATTATTTGACGCACTGGGAAGTTTTTGTTGTAGATTTTATAAAAAATTTCGAAAAAAGAGTTAAAGATGAGATTTATATTGTCATTAAAATTTGTATAGCTCCAGTCTTGATTCAAAAGTTGTTCTTTAAAAAAATTTAGGTTAGTGTTGTTAAAAGCACGTTTTATAATTGTTACTTTTTGATTCATACTTATTTGGCGGTTTGCAATTATGCAGAAAAAAAATAGGAAAATGGTTATCAGAAACATCAGTTTTTACAATGCTTTTTTTTTAAGCGTTCTAACAAAAATGTTATTGGTTAGAATGCTGTCAGTTAAAGAAGATGAATGATTTGTTATCCTAGTATGTTTAAAAATAATGGGTATTGTTCCTGTTTGGCATAAATAATTTACTTTTCTTGGTTACTTTTTTATATTAAATTATTTATTAAATATTTTCTAGCATCCGACTCCGGATGCTAGAAAATATTTAATAAATAAAGGTAAAAATCAGGGTAAAATTTTATGATTTTGGGACAATTTTTACAAGTTTTTTTATGACTGTTTAGGGCAAATTAGAGTGAAATTTAGGACATTTTACGACAATCTCAAGTCATAAATAAGTTTCCGGATTTAATTTTTTTAATTTAGGTTTGAGAAATAATAATCTTTTAATTTTAGTTATTAATGAAATATTGTTTACCCTTTGAAACCCTTTGATGTTGCTTACGTTTATTTAAAGTAGACAATAAACAAAACACAATTTAATCAAAAAACTCTTGAACTTAATAATGGCAACTCTTACATGTAAAATATCTTCAAATAAAAACTTAGTACTTGAAATACTAAACAATGTACCAAAGTTAAATAACTTTTGTGATCGATTTAAAATGGAGTAGCAGAAACAAAATATAAAATGTTAATAAATTTTTCATTTTGTAAAATTAATATCATTCTACTAATATTTTATTCAAAAAAAAAATTCATTCTTTTAGAGTTAGAATAGAGTTTTATTTCAAAATAAATAGAGTTTCAATACAATTCTATATTGACTAAACTTCCTTACTTCTTTTTTTTATCACATCTTGCTTATCAACAAGTTTTGTCTTCTTTTTATTCCTGCTTAAATTTTACTCTGGGCTCGCAACCGATAGACTATCTTTTGTTTGCAAAAAAAAAACAAACGTGAAAAAAATGTATTACTTTTACCAACACTTAACCATTAACGACCAAACAGTAATAAAAAAGTTGGTTAACAGTTGGTACCATTACTGGCCCAACTATATGATTTTTTTCGCAATTTTTGAAATTCGCTTTTGCACTTTAATTGAAAATGCAAATGTTATAAATGTTTTGAATATTGCTTAATAACAAAGTATAACTTTTCTTATAACTTCTATTTACTACTTAATAGTGATAGATTGTATATCAGATTTTACCAGTCAAACAGTACTACTGCCCACATAAAATATTGTATTATTTATAGATAACTTAAGTGAATACACAAAATAAATTTTTTTTAATCGTTATAGTTTTATTTCCAGACCATCAAAGAAAAATATTTAAAAATAAAAAACTAAAAATATTCTACTATTGCTGGTAATATTAGGTTTTAAATTATTATTGGCGGCTTTAATTAAAAACAATATTTTAAAATATATTAAAACAAAAACACTAATTTAAAACGATAGTATTTAAAAACGTGGCGATTTATTAGATATCTATTAATGATAATTAAGATTAATTAGAATTATTAATAAAATCAAGATAAAGAAGCTTTTATAAATAAGCAAAAGAAAATAAAAAATACTCTTTTTATTGATTAACTGCAATTAATTTATTATTTTGATTTTCGTCTGTTTATTTTATTAATAACAAAAACATATTATTAACTTGATATATCATCTAAAGAATTAAATACAAATTTATCTATAAATAATATTTCAACTTTGACTCCCTATTAGCAACGTCATTGCTTATAGGTAAACAACATAAAGACAGCATTATCATCTGTTAAGTTCTTTTTGAAATCCGTCACAACACAGGTACCAGAAAAAGAAAGTCAAGTAAAGCCTGCAAATATCTAGAAAAGAAATGAAAAATTACAATTTTTAATTAAAAAAATATTATTTGCATTTTATTGTTGTAGAATTAGGAAAATAAAATAACAGAAAATAATAAGAATAAAAAAATAGCTAATACAGCCTAAGTCTATCAACACAAAACACAGTAACAATAGCGCATAGCATAAGATTTTTGTAAACACACATTTTTTGTGTATCATGTGTCTCTAGAGTATATTACGTCTCCAAAAAAAGAAAAGATTTAAAAAAGGCTTGACAACACAATGTTGTAACACTGTTAAAAACGCCACAACTTAATAAGATATTTTATCAAATAAAATACTTTGACTAAAAAGATTTTATTTATTACATTATTTGAACAGTTATTGTTAAACAATTTGAATAATATCATAAAATAGCAAGCAACTCGTAAAATATTTTTTATAAATGGTCATTATCAGTTGTGGCATTAAGAAATACGTAAGAGTTCATTAATAACATATGTTTTATTACTTCTCCCTCTCATCTAAGAGAGAGAGAGAGAGAGAGAGGGGGAGAGGAAGAAAGTGTTTCCAAAGCAGCTTGTTAAAAAAGGTATAAATTACGCAACAAATAACTGTTATTATAATAAGTTATTATAATATAATAATAAAAAAATAATAATAAGTAACTGGTTTTTATGTTACCAGTAAACAAATTTATTTTCACCTTGATTAAAAAGTAATTTCCAGCGTTTCTTAATTAAGCTCTAGCTTCTCTCTAACTGTTGACTAATGATTATTAGGAGTAAATTTTACATCGGATAAAATTTAGAAAATTAAAACTATGTTTAAATAGTAAGCAAACTAATCAAGTGATGACAAAGGTAACTCAAAAAAAAAAGAAAAAAAGAACATAATTATGTCTGAAATTATAAAAAAAACTAAAATCATTTACATTTAAAACTGTTAATAATTGTTACTATAAATAGTAAAATTCATACTATGCACACTGGGGTAGTAGGTGGACAAAATGGGGAAAATTTTAGTTTTCTAATCTTGAAAACCTATTAAATTTTAGTATCTACATATATTAGGAGAAATTTATTGATAAATTATTTATATTAAATTCATTAGTTACCAGGACTCTAAGCATTTGAATATTGAAATTTAGGAAAGAAAAAAAGAATTATGAAAAAAATAATTTATAGTGACATCAACGCTGCGTTATATTTCAATTACATCTAAGTTTTTAAAACAAATAATTAGTACATGTTATTCTAGAATATTTAGAGATAAGAAAAACCAATGCGTGAAATAAATATGTCATAGTATGTTATCATAGTTATACTTTGAAAATCACAGATAAAAAAATCTCTAAGAAATTCATTTTTTGCAGTTCTATAACTATAATGACCACAATTTGTCATGCGCTGTCTTATATTTATTTAAGCTTTAATCAAATTTTATTTGATTGCTCGTCCGCTTAAATTCCCGTTCAGATTTTATATTTCTTTTAACTTGGTTGTTATCGTACTAAATTTTGCATAGCAACAACTCATTTTTTGATTAACGTTGTTTTAACAGTATTTTAGTTGTACTAAGTACACAATATTGG